AGCAGGACTCTAGTTCCTCTATACCAAAGGACCAGTCACAGCTCAGAGAGGGAACTGGAGCTGGAAGTGGAGAGAGTGGTTGTAGGCAGTTGGCTCCTCTCAGCTACACAGCACGAGTTACGCTCTCAGTCCTGGGAAGCCACATCTTTTCCATGGTAAAATGCATACAGTAATTAAAAAAAAAAATCCACTCTTGTATGTAATTTACAGTGTATAATAAACTTTTGCATATTTCACTTTGCTTCATTTTCCTAATATGATGGTAGAAATAATAATGCATTTGAATGGCAATTTGTAGTCTATAAAGCATTTTAGCCTTAAATACTGCTCTTAATCCTTCTAATGGCCATAGGAAGTATTATTAGTCCCATCTCATAGATTAGCAAACTGAGGCTGAGGGAATAATTGTGTGACCCAGGGTTTCTGAGCTAGTGAATGGACTACATGGATTAAGGAGATTAAATGAATTCCCAGCCTTCAGAGTACCAGCCCAGATGTTTTCCACAGCACCATGCTGCTTCTCAGGATTATGGATGCTAGGACCAACCATCCCATGTTTCCATCTACACTTCACCATGTGCAGAAAGATTTAGCAAGCTGAAGACTGAAAAGGCACAGGGCGTGAACCCTCCATGTGGTGTTGGAACGGTATCCTAGGCCTCCTGCTGGGCCTGGCCATACTATTTAGTTACTGGGTCATGGAAGAAGTCTGGATACCCAGAGTGGTGGTGGGACCCTGGGGCTCTTTATCAGTCACTACAGAAGTACAGACCCACAGTTTTTTATCTACAATATGGAAATCCAGAAAGCTCTGACAAACACACATTGTTTCACAGTGAATTTGGCCCTAATGGAAGTGAGTCTATTGATATGGTATCTCCATTGTATTGCCTTAAAAAAAGCTGAAAAATTCTTTAGCCTGGAGCATAACTTGGTCCAGCTATTTCAGATATGGGGCCATGGAGCATTTTCCAATATTGTAGTGGTGGTACTAGGGCTACATTGCACATCAGCTCTGTTTGCCTCTGTCATACCAGGCTTGTCAGGACAGGGTGCACTGAGCTCCTCCCGCCACGGGCAGTGTTTATAAGGAGAGGTGTATATCTGGCTTTTCTACTTTCCTGTCTAGGATTCTGTCCTTCTGGGGTAAATGGGCTTTTTTGTTCAACTGTGTTCATCTGAGGCATTTCCAGCCCTACCTTAGTGCCTGGTTTCCAAAGCTAACTTTTCCTATTCCTCTCCTTCTGCCTCCTTTCTTCAAAATTGTCATTAGTGGTTCTGTGTTAGAAGAAAAATAATTGACTACAGTTAAGTGTTAAGGGCAAAACAACTGACTGACTCTAAATTACCCCAATGCGTGAATGACTAATAGCTACCATATCCCAAATGAATCTCTAATTGGTGCAATTTCAAACAGTCTGATTATGTGAAAAATTTAGGGGGAAGATTCTGTGTGGAAGACAAGACTCAGTTGAATTTTTCCCACAATTTGTAACTCCCAACTCCTGTCTGATCTTTGCTCAGAGTTTGGGAGGTAGGATGCTGACTGCTGGGTGATCGTGGCCCCTCTTCTTTGTCAGGACACTGTCCAGTTTGATGCATAACGTCTTCCTAACACCTACTGTGGAGACAGCCACCTCTGACCTTCCTTTCTGTTCCATTCTAGTAGGGCCAGTTGGAACGGGCAATTGTGTCTTGGCATGGGGAAGACCCGTGATGATATCATCAAACTTCATTTTCATAGGCGTTTCACCCCTGTAGAGTGGTGGCCTTTAGCCTGGTCATGAGCTGACAGCTTTAGAAGACTTGGAGTGCATAATCTCTGTGAACATCCTTTCCTGGAAATCACTCAATGATGAATAGAATGAAGACTTAAGGGACAACAGTTCATGCAGATCAATATATAGATCTAAAATTTCTGGGGAAAGAATTGGTTTATGGGAGAAGGAAAACATATATCACACTGGCAAATTTAAGAAAGCTCTTTTCCTAGAGAATAAATGAAAAATTAATCACTACACACTATTCTTTGAGTCCACGCAACTTGCTAGTGAATTAATTTTTAAAAAGTCTGATAAGATTCATACATTTTCTGATATTTTCTCCAGGAAATATGTTGTTTTCTACTCAGCACTAGAAAAGAAAAATCCTCAATGAGAGAAGCAAATGTCCCATGGCTGAATGAGCACATCCTGGTAAAAAGGCGAGCATCAGGCACCCTGATTCCCCCAGACCTGAAGAGTCTGCTTCTGGGGTTTGACTAAGAATGAAGACAGCTTAACCATCCCTGGCTGCACTTGGCAGCCTTAGGATGGTGTGGCAAAGCAGCATTTAGCAATACTCAACCCTCTTTTCATCCTTTCTTTTAGAGTACCTTCACTGACTAACATCAAACCGATAATACTTTTGATAACTAGGATTTTTTCAAATAAATTTTTGTTATTGGGCATGTGCGCTCATCAGAGAGATAGAGACAGAAAGCGAGAAGTCACCACTCAGGAGGGATTGCATGCCACAATACTCTCACCTCCACTCTCCTTTGGGGATTTTTGGCATACACACATGCACTCGTACACACCTGGCATGAGTTTCAAGCTGCCATGTTTGGGACTTGAAACTACAGTCAGCCACATGGGGAGTCCAGTACCATAACCACTACACCACTGGTTAGTATAGGTAACTAGGCTTTTAAAAGACTGTTGGGCAAAAACATCACCAAGAAGGTGATGCAGGAGGTAACTTCTGACTTGGGTTAATGGTGGAGATTTCAGGAAGAAAGGAGGAAATGCAGGGAATAGGGAACATCTGGGGCTGTAGGATAGAGTGCACAGGGCAGCGGGAGGGTGAGGGTGTTGAGAAGATGG